TCTGTCCACTATGTCTCAAAGCTGTCCCCTCCCTCCCCCTCCCCCCCAGCACCAAGCCTGATGCCCGTAAAGACGAGGTTGTAGTTGAAGTTAAGTCAGATAAGCTTCCTGAAGAGGCGGGGCTGCTGCAGGCCACCAACGGCGACCAGAAACCTGCTGGGGACCAGGTAGGCTTGAACGCCGCGCGTGTGCCCACCGGCCGCCTGGCAGCCTCTTCTCACCACCTCCCCGTGCATGGGCCAGCGTCCACTGCACTAGCGACGGGGCGCGGGGACGCCAGGCTCAGGCACAGCCCCAGGCGCTGGATTAGGGAGTCAGCACAGCCGCTGGGTTTCCACCTGCAGTGCCCCCACGTGGGATCACGGCTGCTCCACGCGTGCACAGCTCCCCAGGTGCCCTGCTCTGGCCTTGCAGGGCTGACCCCTGCCAGGAACGTCCCCCTGGGCTGTCCCAGCCGAGGCTGGGAGATCTGGGATGGGCCTGGTACCCTGCCTTCACCCCTCCCACAGCAGCGTCACGCAGCCGCTCTCTGCCACGTGGATGCCAGGAGACCAGCTTACTGCTCTGGCTGGTACCTGGGGTCACCAGAGCTGGCACGCTGCTCCCCGTAGCGGTAGCGCAGGGCTGCAGGGCACGCGCTCGGTCTGTCCCCTTCCTTTTGTTCACTCTTCCAGCCCCTTTCCTTTCCTCCATCCCTGCGCCCCTCGTGTTGCCACGGGGGGTGATCCCAGGATGGGGTGGGGGGATCACTGCAGTCTCCCATCGAGTCCGTGGCGAGGCAGGCGGGCTGCCGGGCCTATGCGCGCTCTCACGCTCTTGCTCCATGCAGCAGCTGCCCCATTCAAGCCTGCCCCACGCGCCTTGCCGCACGCTTCCCAGCCGCTGCAGGGTCCCTGCCAGTGCGTTCTCGCCCCCCTGCGCTGCCCGGCTCCCGGCCAGACCAGCAGGAAGGGTCCCACACTGCTTGGGGGTAGGGGGTGGCTAGAGGGGAGCGTGCGCTCGGCCCTGCCACGCTCCGCCACCCCACGATACCCGCCTGGTACCGCTTGCACATGCTGCGAGCAGAAGCCCGTCCGTGCCGGGGGCCCCACGATGGCTGGTCGCGGCTGCGCCCTGTGCTCTGCTAACCTCCGTTTCTTTCTGATGGGTCCAAGGGCGAGAAATACATCGATCTGAGACACTAGGGAGGCAGCTGCCAAGTGCTTTCCCGTCCAGACTTTCCCCGCTCCTGGATCGCCGCCTCCCACCCCTGCTTCAGCCCCCCGGGAGCGTGGCCAGAGCCCGATGCATCCCAGCGCCCAGACTGCCCTGCAGGGACGAGCCCTCACTGCTCCGGCCAAGGATTTGACCGATGGCAGAAGAGCCGCAGTGCACCTGGACTTGCTCACCCCTCCGGGGGCCAAAGATGGCCCCGCTGGCCCGAGGGGGGAGCACCTAATGCCCAGCACGGTTGTGGGGAAGGATCAGATGCCTTTCACCCACCGCTTGCAGTAGGTGAGCCCCCCTCACCCCTTTGGGCAGGCTCAGAGCGGAGGGGCTGCTTCGCCAGTGGAAGCCCCTCAGAAAGACGAGCAGCCCCCTCGATGAGCAGCCCCGTAATCACGAGGATATCAAATAGTCCCCTCGACGAGCAGGCTCAGGTCAGTCCCTGGAGCTGGGACGCGGGGCGGATCATGCCCGAAGCGCGAGTTCCCGCAGCGCTCCCTCCGGCTGCTCTCGTCCCGTCAGGCTCAGACTCGGCAGCTCCTGCCGGTGAAACGCAGGGGTGGTTTCCCCGTCCCCGCCTGCCCCAGCAATCCCCTTGAAAGCAGAGCTGACAGGGCACGGGCGGGAGCTCGGGGCCGTCCCACGCACGGAGGCTTCAGGAGCGGTCGGGTGTAACGATGCTTTAGCACAAAGCAACGGCTGCTGGTCCCACCGCAGCACTGCTGGGCCGAGAGGCGGGCCCGTCTCCCTGCAGACTCGGGGGTGCGCGGGGGCTGGCCGAGGCAGCTGGGTCTGAAATCGAGGAGGTGCGCGGTTCCTTGAAGTCCCTTAGTGCTCTTTACAGGGCTCCAAGGGGCTTTTTTTCTTAACATCCGTCCCTGGGTCGAGCTCTCCGTCGCAGGCCCGCTGTCTGGCCAGGCGGATGGGGGCCCACACATGGCTAAGAAGGGAAACGGGCCGACCCAAGCTCCTTCCCGAAACCCTGAACTGGTGCTACATAACCCTGGTACCAAATAGAGCGAACCTGCCGCCTTAACGTATACCGCCGTGGCTTCAGGTGCCCAGCAGCTCCCCGGGAGAGCGTGCCAGGGCCAGACCCCTCCTCCCCTGCCCATCCCAGGGGGTGAGCCCCTCACTTTCCCATCCCCTAGAGCAGTGAACCGAGTTGTAGGACTCCTCGAAGCACACCCCTGTCTGCTGCTCCCCGGCAGTGCCTTCCCCAGCCTCCACCACTTCAGCAAACAGCCTTACCGTAACACTGGGCAAGCGTGCACTGCTCCTGTCCTAAGCACCTGGTCCCCTCCGTGGCTAGTGGGACCCTCCGCCGGCGCAGAGACAACCAGCCCCCCCGCCCAAAAGGGTGCACTGTACTCACGAGCTAGCCCCGTCCGGGACGCAGCAGCAGCTTTGGTTTATATATATATTTTTGTTGGGTCATGTGTAAATTTAAGAGTTTGTTTGATATTTGCAGGGGGTTTTTTTTTATATCTGTGAAAATAAAAAGCCTAACAACTTCCAGGGCTGCCGGCACTGTGTTGTCTTTAGCGGGGGTGAGCGGGGTGGTGGGCAGGAGCATATTGGGCAGCTTGGCGGAAGGGCACGTGGTTTCATGTAGCTGTGGTTGTGCTCCCATGCCTGCGCCCCCAACACACGACATCCGCTCTGGTTTCCCACCACATAACTGTGGTTGAGGACCTGTAAGAGCTCTGCAGCTGCTGGACAAGCAGCAGGGGAGCGAGTGTTTTAAGGGAAGGCTTGTGAACAGCCACCCTGCTCACTGCAGAGGGTCACAAGCGTCACCCGCCACCGAGCCTCTAGCTACAGGCGTCCTGCAAGGATGATGTCCATTGCATGCCTGCTTCCCAGACTGCCAGCGGCCAAAGAGCCCCTTCCAGCATCTTCTCCACCAGTGGCTTGTCCTCCAATGGACGGCTGAATAGGAGAGATCTCTCCTGCCAGAGCTCGTCTACACTGGTACTCTGCTTCAGCAGCGCGGGCATATGCAGAGCCGCTCGCCATACATAGCAACATGCGTCCAAGCTGCGAGTCTGTCGATCCCAGATTAGCCTTATCAGCCATCTTCAGCCCCACAGATGAGACAATCATCTTTGCCTGCGAGGGCTTGCTGATGTT